ATTCATTATATGATAAACGTATGATTTGGCAGATGAGAACACCACAGGATTGTATCTTCCTTGACGTTCAATGAGATCTTGCATTGTAGTTCTACTTTCTTCTGGTAAGATATTCATGTGACCATATTTCTCGTAAATACTTAAAGCTGATTTTGCCAAATCTTCTTCATTAATACGTTTAATAATTTCTAGTTTATGACCATTTTTTCTTGGTTTATCATAAAAATTGTCGCTGTTACTGCTACTACTGTTATCACCATAATCATTATCTTCAATGACAGAAATCACATTATGACTTCTTTCTCCTTCATTTTTTTCATCATTACTTCTCCCGCTTCCCTTTATTCCATAAGTAGTAGAATTAAATTTTGAACTTGATGATATTACAGGATTCTTTGAAGCTATCGATGATAAAGCTACAGTATCTTCTTCAGCACTGGAGGTAGAACCTCGGTTACGATTATTATTATGATAAGTATTATTATGACTAGTTGACCCCCATTCTTCTTCATCTTGTTCATAATATTCATCATCTTCTTCCATTTCATCATCTTCTTCTTCATAATCGTATTCATAATATTCATTTTCGTTTCCTTGTCCTTGTTCTTTTGGTCTTGATTTTTTTATTTTATTTTGATATTCACGCCATGATTCAAACAAGTTTTCATGAGTGACAACATCCAACCAAAAATTCAAATTTTCTTGACCTTGCCATTCTTGTCTCAAATAAGAATGAAAATTGTATTGTGATAAAGGTGTTCCAGATTTATTTATTAAAACTTTTTCTAATGGTGGAAAAAACGTCCCATCAAATATTATACTATTTTTACTAAATGTGTATCTACTACCACTATTTACCTTTGTCTCATTATTACTGCTGTTATTATTAGTAGTAATAGTGGCATTACTGTTATGTACATTTCGTGTTGTCGAACCACCAGTTTTTTCAGATATTATAGAAGAAGAAAAGGAAGAAGAATTGCCGTTATATGCCATTCTAGGTGCCGTTATCGATGAAGAATTTACCTCCATTAATATTGGGAGAAAGTATCTTCTGTTTATTCTATTTACTTGTGTATAAATGAATTATATATTTATAATTGTATACGCATATAAACTATTTGCAATATATTATATATATATATATAGCTCTTTTAATTACAATTTTTATAATTTTGAGCCTGGAAAAAAAAAATAATTAACA